CAGTGATCCAAAAATTACTCCTATTGTGCCTGATTAATTAAACCTTGGTTTTTATATAAAAATGTGTCCCCTATAATCTTCTATCGATTGCTGAAAACCGCAGGTCTCTAACTTGTTCCTATCGAAAGTTATTCAAAAACATCCGACTGCCCTGACTTCTGGCGCCGATATTAGTAATAGTGGCAGTCATTCGATAAAAATATCATTGATGACTATATAACTCTATTGAGGGAACAATATTGTGCATTTTCAAGGGCTCCACGAAATATTGATTTCATTTTTTTTCTAATTCATACTAGTTCATAAGAAAAAGAGAGAACGCTAAGAAGAAATGATCTTTTTCTGACCTCGATAGACGGGGATGGATTTTCTTTTGTCAGGCACATTGGCTATCTCCGTCTCTGTTGTTCCTCATTGATCATTTCTCTTCGTTCAGCAAAGAATTTGAGTGGGGATAAGCTTATAGTAAAAAATTCATAACCTTGTTGGATGGATAGCCGTCAAGGACAAAGAACAGAAACATGTGCCGACAATTAGACTAATGCAGAAATGGACGAAGAAGTCGGTGACAGACTATTACGATGAAGCAAAAGAAAAAATAAAATAAAACAATATTTCGAAATTCTGATAGTCATCATCGTCCATCCTCAAATTTCAGGGATTCTTCGGTTAGTCCATGTATTCTGATCCTGTAGAATCCAGCCACATCGTGTCTCACTCGTATTTAGTTATTCACCCTTCCGGACAAAATCACCTTTTTTTAAATCTCTGTTCTCTCTCTTTCCTATGTCTTTTTCTGTCTCTTATTGTGACCGTTTTTTTTCTATTTTAAGTACCATTACGAGCACCTGGCATTAACATTCATCCAAATGCTCGATGGCAACAGAATGGTCTCACTGTGGCTGGAGGATTTGGAGGACGGAATGGAAACAATCAACTCTCATATCCATACGGTTTATATATTGATGATGATCAAACAATTTATGTCGCTGATACGTATCATCACCGTATTATGGAATGGAAATATGGTGCAACGAGTGGTCAAGTCGTTGCGGGTGGAAATGGAGCAGGAAATGGGACTCATCAGTTAGATCTCCCCTTCGACGTGATTGTCGACAAAGACAGAGATAGTCTCATCATTAGCGATTGGGTGAATCAAAGAGTAGTTCGATGGCCTCGTCGAAATGGCGCTCGTGGAGAAACGATAATCTCGAACATCGATTGTCGAGGTTTGACAATGGACGAGAATAGATCTCTCTATGTCGTTGACCGTAAAAAAACATGAAGTGAGACGATATCGAATTGATGATACTGAAGGAATAGTAGTTGCAGGTGGAAATGGATGTGGAAAGCATCTCGATCAACTCTGTAACCCAGAATGCGTATGTGTTGATCGAGATCATTCAGTGTATGTGTCTGAATGGGGAAATCGGCGTGTGATGAAATGGAAAGAAGGTGCAAAAGAAGGCATTGTTGTTGCCGGTGGACAAGGTTCAGAAAATAGTCTTAAACAATTGAATGGTCCTAATGGAGTTGTTGTCGATCAATCAGGCACTGTCTATGTGGCTGATGAAGGGAATCATCGAATTATGCGTTGGCCAAAAGGAGCCACACAGGGAAGTGTAATTGCTGGTGACAACGGTCCAGGAACAGAGCCGAATCAATATAATTTTCCCTATGGTTTATTATTCGATCGGCATGGCAATCTCTATGTCTCTGATAACGAAAATCATCGGATACAAAAATTTAATATTGAACAGACAACAACAAATTAATGATGTTTATTTGTTTGCTGTGCGCTTGAAAATGGTTTTTTTCTTTAATAAAAGGATATTCACGATTAATCAATTAGATATTTGGCGACGACCAGGAACTATCCTGATGGAGCCGTGGCGAGCGTAAAGCATATACACGCACGGGACAGACTCATATCATCCACACTCTCGCCCCGCATAAGGCCATGTATCAAGGAGTCTGAGGGGGGGAGGGGGATGGCGGAGCCGGTCGTGTGCCACGGACACCAAGACAGTTCCTGACCGAGCTTTTAAGAATCCATATACTGCTTTGGGACATACCGTGAGTAAACGTATACAAGCACCTTAGACCCAAGCCTAATGTCAATCACTTTTCTTGAATGACAGCATATACTACAAGAATTCTCTTTTCTCTAATAGATAATCATACGTGTCACTCATCAACATTAGAAAAACACCAAGATCAAGCATGCTTTCTAGAATTATTGATCAATTTTTCTGTCAACAACCGATTTTCGCGCATGTACAGAACGATTATCTCGACAATGAGCTTTTTTCACATATATGGATTCTTAATGCATTAAGACTTGATGAAAATGTGATTTACTATATATCATTCGATGCGCCCTGAACTACTCTATAATACTGCCTATGTGGTTTTCAATTCAAGTGGATCACCAAATTTGGCGGGGATCTATTTTTTCAGAAAAGTATGAAATTATCCGAAAAATTGATTTTCAATTTCGAAACATGTTTTTTTTTCTCCACATACCTTCATTAGATAGAGCAAACAAAGTTCTCTGTCATACATAAGTTTCACAAGAGTCTGCCTTTCTAAAGGGTTATTTGAATAAAGTCTTTGTATGAGACTAAAACGGGGTGATCGGATACCTTTTTTGACCAACTGTGCGAAAGCGACTAATATAATCAGTTATATTACAGAAGGAATTAAAAAACCTCCATAAGATTATTTTCAAACTGAATTCGTTATATTTCCTCTAGTACTTTGATGTTTCTCCCTACAGCTATATCTTAGAGTTTATAGAACATATGCGCCTGCGTCTTTGCCAAATATACATGAGAACACTCACTCACAAGTCAAACACCACCAGACGTGGCGGTGAGGATCAGAGTAAATCAATCGAAAAAAGACCAACCTCTCTCTTAACGAAAAGACAAGTTTCATCTCCTAGCTTTGGCTTTTGCTTTTCAGTAATTCATCTTTGTCGAAGTATATCAATAACAAAAAAAGTGTGGTTTGTGCAAAAGAAATAAAATGCAGAGATTAGTTTCGTCGATGGCTTTCGTAGTTTTATTGCATTTAAATACTCAATGGGGCTCTACATTACAAGTAATAAGCACTAGAGATGTGTGAGGCAAGGATTTAACATGCCCCGCGGACTCCATCCTATGACTTCCGCTTTCTCCCGCCGCGTGCCGGCTCCGGTAAACTATCTTGAGGTGAGGGTGTGAGAATGAGGGCATCACGGAAATTTTTATCATACACACGTCGGCTCATATCTCTCTGCTGAGGGTGCTCGGAAATCGTCACTTCTCATGCAAAACAGATTTGTGGCTATAGGAGCTTGAACGAATTTGGATGAAAATCTTCGAATTTCTCATTTGTAATTCATCTACTACGGAATGTGTTCTTCATATGTAATCACGATTTCTGAGCACCCTCAGCGGAGAGATATGAGCTGATGTGTATGTAATAAGAATTTCCGTGGAACCTTCAATAAGAGAGGCGCGTATGTATACGTATAGTGATGCAAAATCTCGAAAAATGTTCGAAAAATTTCTTTCTAAAGGCTAAAATCGTTTCAAAATAGTTTTTAGAAATTGGAGAGTACGTTCTGAGGAATTCTTTCAACTTGGAGAAAAAATCTCTATGAAAAAAATCGTTTGAATTGATATTTTTGACTCGAACTTTTCGAGATTTCACACCAATTCAGATATACAAACACGTCCTTTTCTGAGTGTGAGGGTGCCAAGGAAATCTTTATCACATACACTTTAGCACATCTCTATCTGCTGAGAGTGCTCGGAAATCGTGATTCCACACGAAAAACAGATTCCTCCGTAGACGAACTTCATCGAATTGGGTTGAAAATCTTTGGATTTTCTCATTTGCGATTCATCCAGTAAGGAACCTGTACTTCATGTGGAATCGCGATTTTCGAGCACCCTCAGCAGAGAAACATAAGTTGATGTGTGTGTGATAAAGATTTCCATAGCACCCTTAATAAGAGAGATGCGTATATACACCCCTGGGCAAAAGTCTTTCCCCCC